TATTTTCGTTGAGAAACTTCCAGTAGGTATTTTACACTTGCGTTTACCATTCTCACACGTATTTTCACACCACGGCTACTTTACGTCAGCGTCAGACACGCGATCTCGCTCTAACTCAATTCGATCGCACATCCCAAAATCTTCAACGACCCATTCCCCGCTGCTTGACACACAATCTCACCACCATCCCATCGCCCTAAAACAGGAACAGCGTCGTCTCGTCGACGATCGATGTCTGAAAGTGCCATTAACCCATTTATTACGTATTCGTGTCTAGTTTGAATCCGTCACCCACTTTATCACGCTTTTCCCTCTAACCTAGACCTCTTGTAGAGCTCTCAGCTCACGACCGCGAATTCCCTGGAAAGTAAAATCGTCGCTTAACCCTTGAACAGAACTATGTCTGCTGGAAAATGTTTATCCATCAGTCTGAGCACTCGTTCTCAAACTGATTTGATCTTAGACACTAACGAAAGTTTAATTTTATTATTGGAAATGTTAATCGATTTTCTTTCTTTCTTTTTTTATCTTTCTTTAATAAAAATATCGCGAAAAGTATTCACGTTTCGAATATGTATTTTTTTGGATATTTGCAGCATTTGTTGATAGAGCGAGAATTTTTTTCCTTTCTTGTGTTTTAAAAATGATTCTTCAGGGAATAGTCCCGAGTACGTACCATTTCTACTTTTAAATTCAGTCTGTCTTTCGCAGACATTTTTACATTTCTGACCATTACCAAATATCTTATATCTAAGCAGAAATTGTACTACTCTGTATTATAATAAATATTTCCGTAAATATTTCGAACATTATATACTCTAGTATCTAGTATTTAATATCTAGTAGTATACTCTCTAATATTCGCTTTCGAATTCAATATACTCTAACCTATTCTATGCATCTTCAAATTTCCCATAAAAATCTGCGATATATTTGTTACTCGTATTTTCGTAATTAAATAATTCTCATGAGAGATCATGAAGATATATATGTACATATATAATCTTTTTTTTTAAATCTCGACTTACATTCAATCCACATTTCGTTTGCACTTTTCTCTCTATTTTAATAGTATATAGATTATATATATTAAATATTATATTTAATTAATATTATAATTTAATAATATTAAATATTATATATATAAAATAGAATAAACATAATTGTCTCTACTTTGATACTAATGAGCATCATCTACATAGACTGCCAAGTGCTCCAAAAATTAATCCCCACTGTGTTTTCGAATTTTTCCCCAAGCAAACATGGAGATTCACATAACCGAGATAGATCGATCGATCGGACAACTCTCTCTTTCAATTTTTCTTTCTCTGTCTCTCTCACTGGACCGTTTTGTTGCCCCACGAGTCGAGTCACCTACTTTCCTTCGGCTGGCGAGTAAACGAAACCGCATTATTAAAACGGATTTTGTAACGGGCTGACGTCGGTATCCGGTCCACGGCCTTGCAACCGTCTCTCTGAAAACGTGGGTGTAAGTGACGTAAAATGTTTCTTCGACGATAAATGACGGTGTTTCGCAACGGAGTGCCCCGGTCGATTCTCCCTGTAATCGGATTAACCGTGACGAACGTCCTTCTGAAACCGTTCGCCTTTTGTTTCGCCAGCAAACAATGACCGGTGTCTATTCGTTGTTGCTCGAGTAAATCTTTGGTCAGACTACTAGCCAGTCGAAATATGGTGCCGATTATTATTTCAACGTTTTACCCGTCGCGCGGAGCATTCGGATCGATGTTCGTTTCAGGTTGGTTTAATATTCAACGAGGATCGTAATTATTCATTTGTTCAGATTGAATTTTTCGAATACTTCGAAAACTGTTTAATTGTTGAAATTACCAAATTGAATTACCAATGAAATAAAATGTGCGCTTCATCCTGTATAATATGTTTGGAGAAATGTTCGTGGAATAAAATATTTGCAATATTTATATAACGATACATTTCACTGTCTAGAAAAAAAAAATAAATAAATTTCTGATATTTTTTTTAATTTCCATCTCGATGAAAACTTGATGATGAATCTGTTGATGAGACCTATTCCCAGGCGCATTATAAATTCCGAAGTGAAAATTAAAAAATTCTGCATGTTCTTTTATGAGAATTAATTTTTCTCTCTTCTGACAAAAATACTTCTATCAAGTTAGAAGTTTGAAGCACCCTTTATTCTTCCTGCTACATGTCTCAATATAATTGATTAAAGTTTCAATACTATAAAACGATAATATCGTGAGTAAAATATTTACTTACTTGAAGAGGTCATTTCAATACGCTCTACGTATATACATAATTTACAAGGGAAATTAACGAATCCGAAAATTCAAAAAATTATGAAATTTTTGCGTATCAGTAGAAACTGATTTTTTGTTCATGCAATAATTCAATTCTAAAGGGCAAAAAATTTTCTTTTAGCACTTCGAGAACGATAAAAGAGATATCGAGAAATAAGTTTGAATAAGAATTGCACGGTTTAAAAAAACTGCTTCAGAGAAAAGTTCAACTTTTAAAGATCATGGTGGAGGATAATTTGGGAAATGTTAATTCTCCGAAAATACGTTTCAGCTATTTTATTTCCGTCGTGCCACTTTAATTCAACATGGGTATTTAGTTAAAGCGTTGAATTATTCGCAACAGTTAGCCACCGTTCCTTTCCGTTGCTGACGCATCAATCGCGAACAAAACTCGCGTAAAACAAACAGGCGAAATCTCTCTCGAAGCGTGGGGGGTACAAGAGTTGGTCATTCCGCTGGACGTGAACAAGACACAACGTAATATTAGAGATATTTCAATGGGAACGAAATATGCAAATGTCGCGGACCCGTGTTTCTTTGCGCTTCCCCTATCGCGCGTAAAATACGAGAATGCTTGTCGCGTGGTCATTTGCCGGGCGTAATGGAGCCGGCCGGCGAAATTTATGCGGCTTTACTCTTGCGTTTTTGAGCTCGTACTTTCGCGCTGCAGCGTGCCACGCGAAACTCCGGGAGGAAGGTTCGCCGGTGATGAGCAACAACGAGAAACCAGAAAGACAATTTTTCGAATGAATTTCAGTGTAATATGAAATGGCCGAATTCGACGAATTTCTGTTTGAAATGAAAACGAAACGTTTCGTGGGTGATCATACGACTCTCAAAGTGCCAATATTTTAATTTTGAATCAGATGAAATTAAGTGGAATTGTAATTTTATCGTACGTTATTCGTAAATGTTCAGTAGAATTGAAACCTCTTATTGACTGTAAAGTAATCTTTATATCTTCATTTCTACACATCGTACGATTTCTTTATTGTCCTCTAGGGGAGGAATTTTTTTAAATAAATAAAAATGTCAATATTAATGGTATGTCATAATATATTCCATTATCATATTAATAGAATTATTTAGTAGTTCAGAATTAATTACAATATAAAATAGTAAAAACAGTACAACATTTATTTTATTATTTCATCATTAATTCCACGAGTAATGAATTTCTGTCCGCGTTATCTTCTACTCCATGCTTTAGGTATGTAAAAAATTTCAGCAAACGTTGAAACAACTTCGGAATTAGCGAGCAAAATAGAATGAAAAGGAGGAACGATCGAACGTTTAAATAGACTTAAACACGGCAACGTTCGTTTTCTTCATTTTTTTTTTCTTTTTTTTTTAACCGTGAACGAAGTAAAAGGGTAATTACGGAAGAAAACACGCCAGCCCGGTATACACGATCGCGAATAATTCTTTTCACGTTCATCGATTGCCATGGGTAATTTGCTGGACAGAACGAGTGTCTGCGTTGGCTTCTCCGGATCGTAAAGAACCGGTATTTTCATCCAAATCGACTCGGAACGGTAATTTTAAGTAAATTCGATTATTGCGTTGAAGCACGAGGGGGGATTCGAGAGACGTCCGCCGTTCCTTGAAACCGTCGTAGTCATTTTTCGCTGTGGGAGCGATGAAATTATGAATTACGAGAGACACGGTGACTTTTAAAGTAAAGATGGTAAACAGCTGCTTCAAACTAACTAATATTGATCGACGAATATAAAACAGAGATATAGATAGATATAGATACAGATGCACAGTATTATATAACCAATGATCGAGGAAATGATAATTGAAACGAGCGTTGTATGAAAATTAAAAAAAAGTTTGAATGATAATTGAAGAGCTAAAAACGAGGAAAGAAATTCGACTGAAATTCAGGTGATTACGAAAATACAGAAATAACTGAGATTTGGAAAGTATGCAGCAACGGATCAATGAAGATTCAATTAATAAAGATTCAAAGAAATACGAAGAAAAGTAAAATCATTTCGATGAATCGGTTTAAAGAAAAAATTTAAAAGAAAGTAAAAAAGCACATCTCGAGAGGAAATTGAAAAATTTACAGCAACAAAATGACCAGATATGAAATTATAAGATTTATAAAATATACGCAACGATAAAACTTATTTCAATTATAAGATTCCCTTACATCGAACGAAGGAATGAAGTTCAACGAAACGGAAATCAAAGAGGAAGAGAACCAAGCAAAAATGTACCTCGCAAGTAGAAAAAGATAAAAATGAGCAACAAAAGTCGTACATTGAAAGGGTTTGGTGTCGTAAACTTCGCGGTAAAAACAAGGTAGTTGAAGGTAGGAAGGAAAGAGCAGAGGGGATTTTGAAGGGGGTGCGACGTGTTCGTGCAATCGCAGCGGTGCTGTATTTATCGCGCTTTATTTGCATTCCGGTCAGGTTGCACGCGATTTTTCGCGTTTCTTCCTTCTTCCCTTTGCCTGTTTCCCATCGTGCACGGAGGTGAAACGTGTTCTGGCGACCGCGGGAAAAACATTCCTCCGCATCGACACGAAAATCGCATTCGACCAGGGCCGTGACATCGTTCGCGAATTTATGATACGACGTGTCTTTGGCATTCTTGTCGCCGAAATATGTCGACGGCCGTTCTAACAGGCCGAAGAATACGTAGAAAATGGTATTTTACGTGGAACGTTTGCAGTTTGTAAATTTAAAAGAAAAACCTTTAAACGATATCTTTATATTTTTACTTCCGATTTTTTACTGAAAAGTGAGTGAATAAAGAATAAATTAATGGCGAGTTAGTTGAAATTGTAAAACTGAGTTTTAATAGCTTTGGAAAATGTAAATCGCAAGGAATGTTAATGTCTGATGGAAATTTTTTAAATATTTAGTGCGATTTAGCAGGAAAAAGTTTGTTGCAGGAATTGTCATGTAATTTTAGAAAATTATCTAAACAATCTGTGCCAGTTTGCGACAATTTTATCTTGTCATCACTATACTATTAATGAAAGTGTAGATCTTTTGAAATGTTATATTATACTAAAAATAGTTAAGCGTCTAAATATTTCCAAATGATAATACAGTTATCAGTATAATTCTGGTTATATGTAATATTTCATAAAAATTATTTAACTCAATCGATTCTACTAGTCGATACTGTAAAGATAATATTAGATTCTTAATTTTCAAAATTGTTGAAAGCCACAAACAAAATGATATGAATATTTCAAAATTTTAAAACATATCGATTTAATTTAATTACATGAATTTAATACAACGCGTTAATCATATCGCGTAGCATGACAAACCAAATTCTCTCTACTGTTTAAATGTACAAAGATTGCCACTATATTACAGTCTATAATTTAACGATAATTATTGTTAATGTCCAAACCAGTGTCCGTTTTAATTATGTTAAATTATCTTAAATCCTATTCTGCAATAACAACTATGATTAATTATCGTTCAGTGTATAAATTATTCAGCTCGAAGCCGACATTCACCCAATTTCATCACCTTCGTCAATCATTTTTCATCCGATTTGCTCTTGTGCAACATGAATTTTCAATTAAACTTGTATTTTATGTTGTTCGTGTGATTTTTATAAATTTAATTCGATAAAATGAAAGCTACATAGAAAATTACTATTGAACAGGAATTAAAATCGAACTGAAAAGTTTTTGTCAAAAACTTTGGTAAATCTGTTAAATATTACAAGAAGCCTGCTATACTTTAAATATTTTATATATATATATATATATATATAAAATATTTAAAATATATAAAACAGCCTTTCATCGCGTTATTTGCACTTTTTCATTTGGAAATATCGCATGAATTTGTACGTCCACGTTGATTATAAAAAGTTACAAAATATTTTACCCTTATTTTATTAATAAACGACCAATGAATCTTCAGGGACAAAGCGCAACAACCTGCTTGTATGTATTTATAAATAAAGCTAGATCCGTCGTTCACGCCAAATAATTAACGCTAAAGAAAGACGATTATAGGGAAAGTATAATAATAGAAAAAAAAAGGGGAAAAAAAATTTTTCTCGCATTTTCCTCGAGATTTCAATTATTTTGCTATTTCGTTACAGGCCAACTGGTACAGGGCGTCGCAGTATTGCCGATATCACGGCATGCATCTGGCGAGTATAGCGTCGCAGGAGGAAAACGACAGGCTCGAGAAACATATTAAGGACTTTGGCCTTGGACACGAACACTTTTGGACTTCCGGTACCGACCAGGCTGAGGAAGGCACTTTCTTCTGGATGGCGAACGGTAGACCAATTACATTCGAAAATTGGAATGTCGGCGAGCCGAATAATTTCAGGTATGACGATCTCCCTCGTTCGTTCAGAATATTTTTGAACTTAGTATTTCCCTTGATATTATGTTGCAGAGTGATGTGAAAATTTTAATAAAATAGTTTCATTGTAATGTTGTATATAATACTATCGAAATCTTGTATGATACAACAACTATGTGTTACATTAATAACATTATATATAACGTTGAGGAATTAAATAAGTAATTCATTGGAATTGAAGGTAATCCTTTAAGTTTTAGCTTTTAAAATTCAAACGAAGAATAAAATTCTAATAAAAATTCATGTCACGTCGTTGCTGTTTCTCTTGTCTAAAAGCTGTTTGCATTAAAGTTTCAAAAATTGGCATAAATTTCTCATTGCTTTAAATGTAAACATTAACCACCAATTATATTAATGTATTGGCACTACATCATTAAATATACATAACTAATACTCAATTATGACGGTCAAACTTGAATTCTATATTGAATTCTATATTACAAATGTATCTATAATATCAAGCACATTGCAATATTATGAAAGAATGAAAAGCAAATTTGAAACAAGATAATATTTAGCACTCTGCATCCTTCAATTTTTCGTCAAACCAAGGTATAATTTCTCCTCTTTCCGAGCCACTTTATTCTCCATTATTTCAAAAACCAGTCACCCTTGTCCCTTCATGAAAAAGGAAACTTCAATCATTCTCCATCGATAAGATTACCATCAATAAGTCCCTAATAAGAGACAAAACACAAAAGGGGCAAACACACCATAAATTTCATGTGTTTTCTTTTCAGATACGAGAACGGCGAGGAGGAACACTGCCTCGAGCTGTGGAACAGAGACGGCAAAGGATTAAAGTGGAACGACAGCCCGTGCAGCTTCGAGACATTCTTCGTCTGCGAGGTTCAGTGATCGATCGATCGATCGATCGATCGACAGGATCGACGGGAAAAACAGGATCCGAGAGTCATCCTGCCTGAGCTATCGGCCTCGTCGACTCCGTTTTCCCGCCGGGACCTCGAAACAAAATGGAAAACTGACTTTC